GAATTTAATTCAGCTAATAGATACGTTAACACAACATTTATTAGGTATATTCAGAGGCGGTACGAAGTTAGCCGGGTCAGCTAGTTAGCTATGATTTTTATCAGATTTTGGAACGTATTGCTGGCCATTCTTTTAGGTAGTTGAGTTAGATCCTCCTCCTGATCTGTCAGTTTCATTTCTTATAACAAGTCGTGGACAACACCTTGAGTTTTGTGTTTTTTTTTTGTTTTTACTTTTTTTTAAATTTTATCTACAAAAGCGACAAAAGAAAAATTTCATTAATTCGACGCCTTATTATTTGAACTTGAAGATCCATTATCGACCATTTTAAGCTTTAAACCCAAATTAAGAATTGGTTTATTGTTTTGTTCACTTTTCACTGTTCACCAGTGAGTCAAAAAGTGAAGTTAAAAACAATCCGAAAACGGAAGGAGTTAAAATTATTTCAACTTTGTCCGACGCGACGTCAGAAAAAAGTTAAAATATTCGGATAAAAAGTGGGAGGAAATAGGAGCTCCGTCGTACCATCGGACGGTCGGATAACGGATGCATGACACTCCGGCCTATTTATCACGTGTATGGTACCTAGTAATATACATGGTTTCTTTTTTTTTTTTGAGGAAAATATATGAGAAATAGTCTCATATTGACATGCTGATATGAGATATGAGAAACAGTCAAAATATATGAGTCTCATATTAAAAATAGGAGGTCTGGCAACCCTAATTATAGGTACCTATACTGTATTTTTTCCCAAGATAGGTTTTGACAACTTTGTAACATAAAGAATGCCGCTTATTGGTCACACGATGCCATTTGCACTACATACATTTTGTAAAACTGATTCCATCCTGCAGGGACATTGCATTTTTCGACCAATCAGAGCCAAGCGGTATTGTTTATGTTTCAAAGTTTTCGATATCAAAATCCATCTTGGGAAAAAATACATCTTATGTACCATCGTCACCAAAAGTAACTGGGACAGCATCATATTAGCTCTTGTACTATTATATGAATTTTAGTGTCAAACATTTATCATACTCTCATTTAAATACATTGAAATGAATGCTGGTAGAATTAGTCCAGGAGATTATTATAAATTAAAATTATTTTTGTCCCAGATACGTTTGGTGACGATGGTACTTAGATTTAAAAAATATAAAATACCTAAGTACCTACCCTAAAATCAACACATATAAATAAACACACAAAAAACAAAAATATGAAAAACAAAACCAACTATGTAGTCCATTGTATTATTGTCAGTGTCAGTATAGTCTTTTACATATTTATTTATTTGATTCACTTAACAAACATCTGAGGTAGGTAATTACATGTAAAGGTTTGTTTCCAGATAGCCAAAGGCTTAATAACAACAATAGGTCTTAATATAAAAATTACTTCAAAAATACAAAACAAAATATAAAAAAAAATAAAATAAGATAAAAACAGACAGAAAACATAGAAAAATAAAACAATCAACATAGACAATAAACAGATATGATGGCTAGGACATAAAACTATGAGTAAAAGTAGGTATTTAATAATAATTTCTACAGAATAATTCTTGATGCAGCTTATAAGTTTCCTTAGCTGATTGGTGCTAACATTGAAAATATCTAGATTTGCACTGCTTGTCAGCACCTCGTTGCATACTGAAAGCATATGGTTTATTAGTGAATGGCTAGATTTATCAACATAAAATGGTTCCCTATTTGATATTTTATGTATTTTTGGCACACTCAATCGAATTAGTTAGTAAGATCACATCTCTTGTATTTCAAATTGTCTATAATATAGTAAATGAACATGACAGCCTGTGTTTTCCTTCATGTAGATACGCTAACCATACTGAAATCATCAAGCATGGATCCGTATGAGACCATGTACGGATAAACATTATTTTTCTTAACGGAAAGATATCATTTAAGAAATTTTTTTGACCTTTTTCAATTTCATTCTTGCTTACTGCAGTTGTTGGATTTCAAATATTACTAGCATATTCCAAATGTGGTCTCACCAGAGAATTATACAAGATTATAATAGTTTCACTATGAAAATTTTTTGTGTTACGTATAACAAAGCCTAGTGCTTTGTAGGCTTTATTAATAATACACATGTAATGGTTATTAAATCTGAAAGTATCCTGAAAAATAACGCCTAGGTCCTTAATTTCATTTTGTCTAACCAATTTAACATCGCCCATAAAGTAAACTTCAACAATACAATCAATCTTGTGACTACCAAGCAGTTTTCCCTATTCACTGGCATCCTGTTATCTTAAAACCATTTCATGGACGCATTTAAATCAAACTGCAAAATCCTTTGCACAAGAAACCGTTTCAAAAAGCTTAAAATCATCAGCATACAGCAAACTATAGGATGACATTGACCATTCAGGTAGATCGTAGATCTATATCTATATCTATATATGTATATAAAAATGAATGCCACTTTTCGTTGTAATTTTATAACTCAAGAACGGACTCACCTAGCCAAACCAAATGTTTAGGCTTTGTTCGGACTATTTATTAGATAGTTTATGTGAAGTTTGCACAAAATCGGTCGAGCGGTTCTTCATTTATCACATTTTCTTCCCGCATACGGCGCCATGTCTTATAACCGATACCAAGTTTATTTTGTATTTTGTATACCGCGCCATCTCTGATACCTGGAACGAAGCTCGGCATTGCAGATACAGTAGAACAATGCTGCACAGAACTATGCCACTATTCCGATCAGATAGAGTGGTGCAGAAAGAGTAGGTCAAATAGAGTAGTGCAGATAGAGTAGAACAGATGGAGTAGTGCAGTGCATGCAGTGCAGATAGAGTGAAACAGGGCTGCGCTAGAGATTTTTTTTGTTTTCTTCACATTCTTTGAACATTCCTGTGCCTGAGTTTATTTATTTGGTGGTACACTTTACAAGAATAATGCCCACAAGCTGCCTAAAAAAGGATGATGTAAAATTTTAATTTCAGGTGCCTTCTGATCCAGAGAGTCAACATTAATTTTCTTCAACCAAAGCCAAATTCACCATCGAAAAAAACTGAATTTAATTCAGCTAATAGATACGTTAACACAACATTTAACAGGTATATTTAATAATTCAGAGGCGGTACGAAGTTCGCCGGGTCAGCTAGTCATTTATAAATATGTATTATAAAAAGCAGGGGACTCAAGTTGCTTCCTGCCCCTGACGTAGAAACAAATTGATCAAAAAAAGCATGTCCAACCTTAACAGACTGTTGGCGTTGTGACAAATATGACCTTAAAAAGCTACAGGCTTTAGAAGAGAGACCAAAATTAGTCAACTTGCTCAGCAATATGCCGTGTCAAATGCACAGTCATTGTATATAACATCCAGTTGTTTCATATTATTGATGGCTTCAGACACACATTCCGAGAAACAACATAGATTGGTATCTGTAGATCTGTCCTCCATGAACCCATGTTGAAGTTGCGATATATTATTATAAATATGACACAAAACGTCCCTGTACAGAATATTTTCAAACATCTTACTTAGACTATTCAGTAAGCTAATTGGCGGGTAATTTCTCATATCAAATTTGGTTGCTGCCTTCCGCAAAAACAGATACTGTGCAAAAGCATTTGCTATACCCATAGAGTCAGCGAACCTGTCATTGTCAAGCACCATTTCCCGTGAACCGTGATATCCCACCATGGCCCGACTTACCACGCACAAAAGACCAGAAAGTGTTTGGATGGAGCTTCAAACTTCCTTCAACCCTTTTTTTGTTTTCAAGATACTCTTTCTTGGTTTGAATCTTAATGCCCCTCCCTAAAGTGTCTCAAATTCGTTTAGCTCTGAAACACCAGCTCAGCCTCTCATAATCAGAGTGTGCAAATTATTATTCCACCTGACTTTACGAACTAGGTCCGTGGAGTACCAAGAAGGATACCTACGAGTGCGTCTGTTCTCTCTTATTTAGGAATGGATAGGTCTAACCATTCATACAACTGTTTGTATAACTTATCCTCTCCATCATTTACATTAGTGCACGTCAGCACTTGGGTCCACTCACAATCCCTAAGCAACTCGTATAACAACCCAAAATTGCCCTTGGAGTAATCATATTTGAATTTTTTTTGCATATAATTTGTGTTGATATCTGATTGTTTAAACATTGTAAATGCCGCAACAGTAAGCTAGCTTTTTTATGTTGATATTCGTGATCAGCGCATCAAACCATTTGTCCTAGGATTTCCAATTTTTTGATTTATCATTACAGTCATTGGCTTCTGTTAAAAAATATGTCAAAGACTGTTTGTTAGCAATACTTGTTGGTTATTTATTTCTTTTAGTACTCCTTGTTCCAGAATATTTTTCAGTCTTCCAGTGCGTTTTCTTTGAAATTTGGGCTAGTTGATTCTTATTAAAGTTCATTCAACTGTTGAAGGTTGAAGAGGCATTCAGTCCAGATGCAACGATTCTGAAAGATGTTTGTCTAAAATTCCAACCAATAAATGATCTCCTATAATCGAATAATGCTTTTTATTTATTTATCTAATTGAAGTGTCCTAGATATTTCTTCTCCACCTCCTATTTGCCCTCAAAAAACAGTTACACTGTTGATACTTTTTCATTTTTCAAGTTCTCACATTGTAATGTGATCCATTGCTTAGATAAACATACTTATTCTTCCTATCCACCAACATTGACAATTTATTTATAATTGAGCAAATATGTTGACATGAAATACTCTAGCATTTTGTTTTGATGTAAAGTTTATTTAGATAAAAATATAGGATCAATTCACATCCTCATCCTGATAATTGCCGCAATATTTATAGGTCATTGTCAGAAGTGCGAAACTGAAAATAGATCATATCAGATTCAATGTACAATCCTAATAATTATGTATACCTAGTTACATATTTTATTTATTAAATTATGAAACTAAAATTGAAGAAGGGCCTTACTGTACCTTTCTCTACTATAAAAAAGCAAGTCTAACCTTCATTAGGCAGACAGTGATGCATACAGGCTGCAGGTGTATCTTAAATCTAGACCCTAAGCCTGATATTAAAAGTAAGCCATTGTACTTGAAACGTACATATTTCAATAGTTTATCTGATTCATTTATCTTTGTTTCAAGCTTAGTATCATGATCAAAAAATCAAAACAATTTATTTCTTTCTATTTTTGTAATTCTAAACGATTATATTTTTTTCTCAGATCAATGCCTGGATTTATGCAAAGCTTCGCAGGACGACAGCGAACCAGTAAAAGGCCAAATAATAATCTCGCTCCTATCCAGAGACGGTCCTTGTGGCGGTACGCCTTTAGCCATCGTCAGCCCTTTAGGTGACATTCGTGGGCCCCCAAATAACGAAAATACAAATGTAGAAAATGGCAATAATTCCAATGATGATTTACCGCCTGGTTGGGAGGAAAGAAGAGCCTCGAATGGTCGGCCGTATTATGTGAATCACCAAACCAAATCAACCCAGTGGGTTAAGCCACAGTTGAACGGTAAAGTTCGGGCACTTAACAACAGGTTAAGGCCAGGGAATAATAACGAAAATCACGGCAATAATAACAACGAGATTATTAGGTCTGAGGAACAGACAAATAGTAATATACAAAATGATATTTCTCTAGCCTTGACTCCTGGTTCTAGCACTTCTCCTGTATCCCCTGTAATTAGTCCTCAGCATAAGGAACCGCGCCCTCCTGTGATTAGTCCCACATCCCTTGAATCCAGGGCTATTGTTTTAACATCTTTACCTGCAGCAGCAACACCAACATCTATAGAAGAAAATAGTATGCCTAATCAAAGTGCTACTCCGTCCACTAGTGCAAACACATCTTCTCCAATACTAAATGGCCAACAACAATCAATTTTGAGCCCTCAAAGGGTGCCAAATAGGGAAAGGAGGCCAAGAAATGCCGAAGAAAGGCGGGACGGCAGCAATCGAAGACGCAGCGGACGAAATCGGAATTCAGTTATAGCTGCTCAAGTAGCTGCAGCTGTAGGACAAGTTGTTGCTAATGGGAGTAATGTCGTTAGTAGCACTGGAAAATTAGATTTACCTCCAGGATATGGTAATTAATCAATTAGTTTTTGTTATTATTATTATAATGTGATTATTTATTTGGCAGAACTACGCACTACTCAACAAGGGCAGGTTTATTTCTATCATATACCTACAGGAGTGTCGACATGGCACGATCCCAGAATACCTAAAGATTTAACCCCACTTAGTTTGGCCTTGGACCATTTGGGACCTTTACCGGCAGGGTGGGAAATGAGGCAAACTACATCTGGAAGGGTAAGAACTTTTTTGTATTTGTAATTTCTGTTCAGTACATACTGTAACATATCCCTATATTTTTTTTCTTTGTGTTTGTGGAGTCACTTTCAATTTCTTTCAAAATCCATATGGGTAAATACGGTGTAGTCATATTATTGATTTTTTTTTTTGGAGGAGCACTACATCTACGAGGTGTGTGTTGTGTACCTTGCTACCCTGCATTTATGACGTTTTTAAATCTTAAAAGCCCTTTGACGAAGTAAGAATGAACGCTAACAAATCTATTTTTGGCTCTCGAACTCTATGTAGCTCCAGTATTTGATTATTTGATGCGAGCTGTAATCTTGCAGTGCGTCTTACTGCGAATGTGATACCTCAAAACCAAAAAGGAAAATTGAAAGTTTATAGCAAAGCAATACATGTATTACTCAAAATATAAAACTTACCAAAATATACACCGCACAAAAATTATCGCATCTATCATAGCAGACGACACAGAAATTAATAGCATAATTGCAAAGTGGAATGTATGCCTATCCGCATTTTCCCGAAAAAAGTAAACAAGAACCTAATAGAAGAAGAAACGACATGTTTTTTGACTCGAGTTTTTCAGTTAAAGAATGCCCATTCAGGGAATACTTAAGAAATTTTTAAAATAAATTTACTGTAGCCAAAATATTTAAAAGCATTGGTGATGCGATAATTTTTGTGCGGTGTGTAGTATTAGGTGTAATTCTGTAAAGCAGTCAACCTCCTTTCATCTCATCCCCTTTTAATATTGCAATAAGTTATTTTTGCCTTTTATTTCATAATTGGTTGTTCTCCTGAGGTTGTTCTTATATTTTTTGAGAAAGATATATGATTCAATTTGTCAAGAAGCATCTGCATTAATTAAATTGTATACGAATTTTTGAATTTGTTCAGAGAAGAGAAATTGCGTGTGAATTTATGATTGTATACAGGGTGTCCCAGGTAAAAGTAACTACATGGGGATTTCGGAAACGGTAAGAAATACAATTTTGGTTAAATGGGAAAAAAGTTGCGCTATTCCTGTAATATCGTGCAGCTTCGACCTGTGCAACATAGTGTAAAGAAAAGGTCAGGTAATCGAAGCTGACATGACAGTTAACAGGTATTATTGTCAGTTTGAAGTTTTTCAAAATTCAAGCCACAGATTCAAGCGTGATTCAAGCACATTGTCATATTCTGATGCATGTAAGTTAGAGAATTTGTACTGTCCTCAGCAGACATGGGTTCTTATTTCGGTATTAAAGTTTTGCGGCTATCTCCGCATTTAATTTACTATATCATAGCACAATTCCGAGCCCAATCAGATGCTGTATCGAAATTGGAAATATATACAGTTACAAAGCTATGACAATAAACACAATTACCTATTTATTTATTTGGTCATCATATAAACGGGTTGTACGAGGGCTTTGGTTGTACCATTGGTACAACTAACCCAATCGTACATATATACTTAGGGCCAAATTATGGACCAACTAGTAAGTGTCTGGTTGTTACCTAGCAGGTACTTTCTATTCTCTAGTGCATAGAAAGTACCTGCTACGTGGCAACCGTACGTTTACCAGTCAGTTCATAATTTAGCCCTTAACAAAATTAAAATTATAGAAGTGACTCATAAATAAAATAAAACAAATTGAAAACATTAGAATGGACTTCAACAGGTACAAACATACTAAATACAAAGTTAACGCAATAAAGAGTAGGACATTTGACAATTTTCCGACTTATGGAATCATAATGAACCGACAAAGAATACAGATTTCGGCAACCATGTTTTAATCCAATAATAAAATTTTCTAAATTAATTAAGGTATTAGAAGGTCCGCGTTTTTTTTTAAGTTTGGACTGTAAGGCATTGAGACATATACTGTCACCTGATCACCATAAAATGAATTTGCCGTTCTCATTATCCTGGTCAGAGGAGAGTTCTGGCCATAGGAAGTTCTTTGAAATTTCAATTGAAACGTTTTAGGTGCCTTCCCTTAAAGTTCGTGAAGGCACATGAAATTGCATTAATTCAAGTAATTCTGAACAGTCAATGCGATTAGATATAATTTTAAAACATATCAAAGTATCTTCCCCTAGTGCAGTGGTTCCCAAACTTTTTTCTTCCGCGCCCCCTTTCTGAAATCAAGAAGTGGTCGCGCCCCCCTTCCTTTCACCATTATACAAAAACATTTTTTTTACTTACTGTAACTCGTCTGAACAGAGACGCTTTTGGATGCTCTTAGAACATTTCACACCCGTCAGTGACTTGTTATACTCCATGCGTTTTGCACTCGAACGCTTGAAACCGAACGAGTCAAACTGTAGCCGGAGTACTTCGGAGTAACTCGGGAGCGCTCAACGGATGGCACCCGAAAGCAGTTCTGAATTTTGGAAAGGGAGGAATGGGCATGACAGTGGGCAGCGAGCGTGCGCTGTAGCAATTATCGCATGGCAAAGTTTGGCTTAGGTATGCGCTGTTGCCGGATTGTAGACATCTTTTTTTAAATTTTAACTGATTTTTTTATTTTAAATCTTAAAATTTGTATTAATTTTTTAGAAGACTCACGCTCCCCTTAATGTTGCTTCACGCCCCCCAGTTTGGGAACCGCTGCCCTAGTGTATAGTTTAAATTGTCAGATAATAACCCCTTCTTAAAAGCAATATATTTTAGAAACTCTGTATACTTTCTAACCTTTTAACACAGGTTTCGTAAGAATGAATTCCAAATGACAGATCAGTTTTCTAGCTGGGATCTAACTAGAGATGTGTGTAATAATTTTATTATGTTTATATCTTTATAGTTATTTATGATATAAGTGTTAAACGTACATTTTTAAGGCACGCATGTGAAAGTTTGCAGAATGAGCGAAGCGAATTCTGCAATTCACATAAGTGCAGACTTATGTTATATACTTACATATGATATATTTTAATATTAATAATATTCAATTTTTGTTCTCGAGACTCTCGAATCGAGATCGAGAAGTTGTCTTCGAGAAAAACATCGAGACGAGATTTTGTTGATTTCTCGTCTCGATGATCGAGACGAGACGAGAAATTGCCTTCGAGACGAGATCTCGTCTCGATGAAACCCCAAATCATTTTAAGGAAGCCTTAGCGCTAAGTATCCCTTAAAATGACATTTTTACGCGGAGAAATGTCACTTTAAGGAATACTTATCGCTAAGGCTTCCTTAAAATGGTCGGTGCAAACGGCCATAATTGATCTAATTTTTATTAAAAAAAATTATGCCCACATTTGCTTAAAATTGGCGAAATTTGGATGTGGTCACCAAACATATTTTTCTTCGTCTTCGCGGCGTGTAGGGGGCGCCGCATCTTAGTCTCCCCCCCTAGGGATATTCATATCGCTACGGCCCTGCATATCCCAGTTCGAGTTGATCAGTTATGAAGTTAGTGTATTACACAAGTAGATTTGATACTATTGATTTATTTTGCACACAAAACCGTGCTGATTAGGTATAATTAAGTTTTTAGTGCAACCCTCTAGGAAGTCGGTGATCATTGAATCCATTATCTTAGGTATTTGAGAGATTTTTGAAATTGGCCTATAGTTGTCTATGTTATTTTTATTCCCGTTGTTTTTACAAATAGGCAGTATATAAGTTGCTTTCCACTTTTGAGGAATGGTCTTGCGAGAGAAAAAGAGCAATTTTTTAAGAACATTGGGGGAATATTATCAGGACCTGGTCATTTAGTTGGTATTCTAATCTACTCATAATATCAGAAATTTTAAAATGGAAGGAGTTAACATTTAGATCATTAAAAGATACATATATGGTTTCTTGGCTGAATATTGTCATCACTGACATACACGGATGAGAAGTAAGTGGCATAGGCATTTGCAATATCAGCAGGACTTGAAAGTTCTTGATCCTGATATTTGAGTAATTTAGGAATACCACTCTGGTCTTTTTTAGAATCCACATAGTTCCAGACAGATAATATCCAATATCACGTCAATCTTTTCAATGTAATCATTATATTTACTAGTCGATAGCATTTTACATTGTGTTCTGATATCGGAAAAAAACTTGTAATTGGCATCGGAAGGAAAGTTTTTTAATTTTTTATGGGCTAACTTTTTTTCAATAATAAGCTGTATTAGTTCTTGACTCAACTTAAAATCGATACCTACTTTGAGCCTTGGGGCAAATTCATCCAAGCAGCGATCTAAAAACCTATCTACCGCTAAATCTATATCACAGGCTAAGATGTTATCCCAGTTTACATTCACAAGAAAGTTATTTATGCTATCATAATTAGCTTTATTATAGTCTACGATGTAATGACTATTGTTCACTGGCACTTTACTACTAGTATTGGTTATATAGATGTAGATCATTAGAGCTGGGTGATGTTTATCACAAGTTACTAGAATATCGCATGCGAGTTCCAATCCAAAATCATAATCATTTGTGAAGATAAGATCAATAAATACTTTATTCACATTTGAAATATTGTTGATTTGTCTTGAATTAAAGTAACATATTGCAGCTGTTATACATTCACTCGCCAGGCAGTTTCTAACCTGAGAGTTATTAAAATTATCACAGTCGAAAAATGTTAGCATAGGTAAATTATAGTCTCCTAACAGGTAAAAAGAGAAATTTTCATATAAGTTAGAAAAATGTTCAATATTTTCAGCGTGAGCTTTGAGCTTCATATTCTGATGATAAAGATTTCGGAGGAAAATATCCAGGTCTCTCTCATTCTTGAAAATAGTGGTGTTGTAGCCCAAGTTCTGCACTTTGATGATCATCATTAAGCCAGGTCTCTGTAAGTGCTATATAGTCCGGTATGAGCTGTTCAAAATTGGTTTCCCGTGTGCCTTTTTGGTATGCAAGCAAGCGGTTTTTTTAAACTAAAATTTGTATCGTAAAGAATAACCAAGTTCAGTCGGAACGCCGGCTCATGTGTCAGAGGCGTACGGTACGGGAAAATAAGATCAAATGATTTTTTGAGCGGTTTTAAAGGCAT